TCATTGTGGTTACGAGTGGCCTGTCCTCCATGCTGAATTTGGGATTGCCACATCTATCACTACTGCCTTCTTCTGCTGCTTGTCCATCAACACGATGTCTGGTTGGTCAGCCATCACCTGTTTGTCAGTCTGGATCTTGAAGTCCCATAGGATCTTAGCTCGGTCATTCTCAACTACCTTAGGAGGTGTCTTCCATTTTGACCTTGGGACTTCCAGCCCATACTCATGGCAGATGTTCCTGTACACTATGACAGCTACCTGGTTGTGGCGTTCCATGTATGCACTTCCTGCCTGCATTTTACACCCTGCTGTTATGTGCTGTATTGTTTCAGAGGCATCTTTGCACAGTCTGCATCGGGGGTCCTGCCTGGTTTGGTAGACCTTGGCCTCTATTGATCTTGTACTGAGTGCCTGTTCTTGTGCTGCCATGATTAGTGCCTCTGTGCTGTCCTTCAGTCCAGCCTTTTCCAGCCACTGGTAGGATTTTTTGATATCAGCCACTTCTTCTATTTGTCTGTGGTATACGCCGTGCAGCGGCTTGTCCCTCCATGATGGTTCCCCTTCCTCTTTCTTGTCCTCACTTTCGGTTTTCTCCTGCCTGAGGTACTCACCGAGCCATTTGTCTTTGGGGGCCATCTTTCTGATGTACTCCTGGATCTTAGTTGTTTCATCCTGGACAGTGGTCTTGACACTCACTAGCCCTCGGCCTCCCTCGCTACGCTTGGTGTACAGTCTCAGAGTGCTGGATTTGGGGTGGAACCCTCCATGCATTGTGAGGAGCTTTCTCGTCTTGATGTCAGTAGCCTCTATCTCCTCCTTTGGCCAGTTTATTATACCAGCGGGGTATCTGATGACTGGTAGGGCATATGTGTTGATGGCTTGGATCTTGTTTTTCCCATTCAGCTGACTTTTCAGGACCTGCCTTACTCTTTGTAGGTATTTAGCTGTGGCAGTCTTTCTTGCCATCTCCTCGTGGTTTCCGTTAGCCTGTGGAACCCCAAGGTATTTGTAGCTGTCCTGAACATCTGTTATGTGGCCTTCTGGTAGTTCAACCCCCTCGGTTCTGATCATCTTCCCTCTCTTTGAGACCATGCGACCGCACTTGTCCAGTCCGAATGACATCCCAATGTCGTTGCTGTAGATCCTGGTAGTGTGGATCAGTGAGTCGATGTCTCGCTCACTCCTGGCATACAGCTTGATGTCATCCATGTAGAGGAGGTGACTGATGATTGTTCCGCTTCGGAATTGGTATCCGTAGCCAGTCTTTGTGATGATCTGGCTGAGGGGGTTCAGGCCTATGCAGAACAGCAGCGGGGATAGTGCATCACCCTGGTATATGCCGCACTTGATGGTGACTTGTGCTATTGGCTTTGCATTGGCTTCCAGACTTGTTTTCCACAGCTTCATTGAGTTCTTGATGAAGGCTATTAGAGTCCTGTTGATCTTGTACATTCCCAGGCATTCCAGTATCCATGTATGTGGCATTGAGTCATAGGCTTTCTTATAGTCAATCCAGGCAGTGCACAGATTTGTCTGCCTGGTCTTACAGTCTCGGGTGACTGCTCTATCCACTAGTAGCTGGTGTTTGGCTCCTCTGGTGTTGCTGCCTATTCCCTTCTGGGAAGGGTGCATGTATTGAGCCATGTGCCTATTCATCTTAGCCGCTATGATGCCTGACAGGAGCTTCCATGTTGTACATAGGCAAGTTATTGGCCGGTAGTTGGATGGGGTTGTTCCCTTCTGCGGATCCTTCATGATCAGGATTGTCCGTCCTTGGGTTAACCATTCTGGGTGGGTCCCATCCATCAGCAGTTGGTTCATTTGTGCTGCGAGGCGTGCATGAAGTGCGGTTAGTTTTTTCAGCCAGTAGGTGTGGATCATGTCAGGGCCTGGTGCTGTCCAGCTCTTCATACCTGCCACTCTTTCTTGGACATCTGCCGTTGTAACGGTTACTGGTTCTTGTTCTGGGAGATTGCTGTGATCTGTTCTTAGATCTTCTAGCCACTGAGCATTGGTGTTGTGGGATGCCTCCTTCTCCCATATGTTTCTCCAGTACTGTTCAGTCTCAGCCCTGGGTGGATCTGATCTTGAATTACCCTGCCACTGTGAGTACACTTTGGATGGGTTGGTGGAGAACACCTGGTTTATTCTCCTGGCTTCTGCTTATATATATATACATACATATATATATATATATATATATATATATATATATATATATATATATATATATATATATATATATATATATATATATATATATATATATATATATATATACACATACATATATATGTATAACAATTGTTACTGTTGACCTGTGCTGCTAGAAGAACCCTACCCCCTCGAATGCTAATGTTACCTCTTCTGCCTATTGACATAAATACAACTAAGTTTTGCTTGATAACCATAATTCCTTATGTAAATTTATTTTCTGTTACCTGGGTATGATAAAGCAGAGAAGTATGAAAATATTTAGCTTAGTATGTCTTGATGTATTAATTAATGCTCAAATGAGTGGGAATGAACATTTTCACTGCTTCCTGCCTACACTCAAACTGTGCGGCGTCTCATTCTTCCTCATGGACCTGTAGCACAAAGCTCTGACGCTGATCTGCCCTGAAAGCCTGTCTTTGTTGGACACTGAATGAAAAGACAACTACAAGTCTCATTACCGTTAGATCTGTATTGATCACATATACACATCTTACAGATGTGACTTCTTACGTTGGTTGTAACTTCAGGTAGCTACATAACATTACTGTCATAAAACTCAAAACAGTATCTTAAAAATAACACAATTTACCAACTTAACAATGCCTGATATAAAACGTTGGTTAGGATGTCACATTACGATATTGTAAAACAATATTAGGAACAGATAAATAAAGTGGCGTTACGGGTTAGTTAATAAAAAGTTGGTAGCTACCGCTGAACTTCTACAGCGGAAGCTAACAGTTAGCATTTCACGTTAGTTAGTCAATAGTTGTTTTCTTACCTTCATAGTTGTGTATATATGAGGCAGCATATAACTTGAAACCTTTATCCAATTTGCTGGACGGTGTTTTAGTTATCCTACCAATCCGATGGACATCGGTGATGTTTAACTTTGGCAGCTCCTGTAAACACCGAGTGTAGAACGTCGCCATCACTGAACCGGAAACTGAGGAGTAGCACTAAGTTAAACCCGGAAGTGTTTGTGCAATCAGCCCATTGAGCTAATCTAATCCTGACTCATGGGACCCCGAAATGGACTCAGACTGCCACCTAGTGGCTATAGTAGTCAAATGTTTTTCACGCAATTTGTGAAACACGGGGAGCGTGAGTGAAGTGTCCATTTCCAACCAGTGCCCACTATACAAGGAAAGAGACATAAATGGAACAGAAATTAACTCGTACAATAATTTATTTATTCAGAAACAGTGTGGGCTTTCTTACAATACTGAATGCTCTATAATTGTATTTCTGTTATTTTTTGGTTATGCACATCTGCTAGCTTTTTATTCTAAAAATAAATCTATAAATTTACAGAAGCAAATTATCAAAGTTTTTTAAAAGCCTGTTTTAAAAGCTCCAAATGAGGCTTCAGATCAAACAGCCAAAATTACGCTTCATTGTTTTACAGGAAGAATTAGCATTTGCTGACCCTTGACCTTTAACTACTGATGGATATACAGGAATACAGTGTCAACTCCTCTGAGATAGCACAGTGTGCAATTTTTGGCAATTTCTGTATATATATATATATATATATTTTTTTTTTTTTTATTTAAAAAGTCAATGTATAACATGAATGCATAAATAACTAATTTTATTTCAGTGTTAAATTGTGTACAAAGTAACAGATCATTAAAAATGTCTCCGGACTGCTTGATGATTTTCTTTATTTAGACCCCTCTGATTTTTAATTGGTTACCCCTGGTTTAATGTTTGTAAATATTTATTTCCCGTCATGTGCAATCATGTTTGTGATTGGATGAGTCATAGAACGCAAACACTCATTGGTTAGCTAAAGGAAATCATCAGAAGCAAGCAGGTGTTCTTCAAACTGCTAACGTGAATTGTCTATGCCTTGCTACAATGTCGGATTCAGAAAAAGATGGCGGAATGTCTGAAAGGTCGGACATAGGCAAGAGCGTATCGGGAGACGGAGACCAACAAGACCTCCCTCATCCTTGGCCCTATCTCAAAGGATTTTTAGAAATAGTTGAAAAATTGAGCTTTCAGTTCATATAGTGGTATCTGGCTGTTTTCTTTTAAAGGTTACTTTTATACTTTAAGTAGTTTTTGGAACTACTACTTTTTCACTTTTACTTGAGTAAAGAGGTCAAGTTGATACTTTTACTAGAGTGTTTTTAAACTGCAGTATCCATACTTCTACTTAAGTAACAAATGTGAGTACTTTTGACCCCACTGAATATCACATCATGCTCTCTGCTTCTACAGAGCATAAAAAATAAAAATAAGAAATATATAAAAGATGGATAATTATTTATAACAGGCACAGCTATATGAAGCACAATGCATGCAATAAAAGAGGTGAGTATTTGTTAGGTAAGGCAATCTTATTTATATAGCACAATTCAGAACACAGCCAACTCAAAGTGCTTTACATGAACTAGATGATAAAAGAGAAGGAAAATAAAAGCAGAAGAAAAGCAAAAGATTAATGAAATAATTGGACCACAAAAAAAGCAGAATAAAAGCAAGTTAAAAAAGACTCCATCCACTTATACTTATCGTCCATTCTGTTAGTAGAAAATGATATTTAGGATGCTCATGTACGCAGAATGTTAATGTCTATAAGCGTTATTTCAACTGAATATTATTGAAATAGGATGCAGATAGAGAAAAAGCTCAGTTTCATTTGGTTAACAACAGAACTATAATAGGGAGGATCTCAGTGAAATTGTTCCTGCCTGGATTTTGATTGGGCATATCTATCAGACGCCCCAGCAGCCTGGGTGCTCAGTCCTCTGCTGAGAGAACTCTCCTTTCTCCATGGCTCTGGTATCAACTAGTCTCTCCATGACAACCAGTCTGTGTACAGAGCTGTCAGTCACCAAGTAGACCAACCGAGAGTCTCCACATCCACAGGTAGGTATACGTATATATATATATATATATATATATATATGTATATATATATAGAACTGTTCATTCTACCTGTCTAAGATCTATGTGTTCCACACCTGAATGAGTTTGTTGATGTTTCCAGGGAGTCAGGATGCCTTCGGCTCATGGGAAGACTGATATGGAACGTCTGGGTGTTTTTATGGAGATGAGCTACATCTCTGTAGGAGACAAATACACTTCAGACCAGAACCGTAAGCCGGACGTCGTTTTCATTTACCTGTTTTACAAGATAAACGGCACCTTTCAGAAAACAGCAGTCAGCCAAGGAAAGGTTTAGGGTTAGGGGTTAGGATATGTTAAGATATTTACCTTTGAAAAAAATTTTAAAACATGATTTTATATTTATGTTTGTATAGAAAATGTATAAAAAAAAAAAATAAATAAAATAAACAACCAAAGCTCCTGGTTTAAAGTCTCAGGAGTGAAACTATATGTTGGATATGTTCAGAAAGGTCCAAACAGACAGCAGCAAACCATTTGAAAACAAACCATGCAAAGAGCAGTGTTGCCAACTTAGCGCTTTAGTCGCTATATTTAGCCACTTTTCAGACCCGTCTAGAACTTTGATTTCTAAAAAGCTCCTAGCGCCAAATCTAGAGACTTTTTTCTGCTACTGGAGACTTTGGAGACAACATCTAAAAGCAGCGAACTCTGCTCTCCAGAGCAAGTAGATTGGTAACCCCGCCTCCTGCTCTCCTCTATCTTGTCTGCTGTCATGATTCATGCAGCTATTATTTCATCCAAATGAAAAATGGAGAACAGATAAGCAGATCATGGCTTGTCTACAGTGAAAAGAAGGACTGGGTTATTTACTTTGGCCTTTTTGGAAACACAGGAAGGAGCAATCAGCTAAGTGAGCTTAGTGCTTGGAAAAAATCTTTCATTCCTTTAGAGACAGCATGAAAAGTCAGCTGAGTACAAAACATAGAGAGGAAAACAAGAAGAAAAGGGACAAGAAGAGAGGGACACAACCTAGAACAGATAATGGATGTCTATTCTATTAACATTTCTCTATCTGTAGAATGGGTCTGTTAATGTGTTGTGTTCTCAGTTCAGAGGGCCCACTGCCTGTCTTTGCCTAGGGCCCCACATTTCCTCAATCCGACCCTGGTTTAAAGTCCCTGAATGTTTCCCTATGTTTCCATGTCCCCCAGGTCCTTTCAATGAGTCGGCATACCGCAGCCGGCAGATGCAAGCAGGTGTCTCTAAGCAGCTATGCGCTCTGCAAAAAGGCTTTTTTGACACGTCCTTTAAACGGATTTTTGAGAAAGAAGCCCTGAGTGAGCCCCTGAGACTGGCTCGGAGGAATCGGATGCTGCAGGCCAAGAGGAACGTGGGCAAAGCATTCCTGCCCTCTGGCGGGGTGAAAAAGCTGTGAGGCTCCACGCACATTCACTGACTAAATGTCTGCCAGTGTTCAGGAAGATGTTGATGACTGACAAGGCAGGAAGCAAAGCACCCTGAGTCAATGATGATGTTGGAACTGATGTGTGTCTGCTGGTTTCTTTCTGCCCTCAGCTGTGGTTCTGGTAGCTACTATGGCACCTTGTCTGGACCTATAGAAGCCACAAGTCCACTGTCGGTACCAAAGAAGGTTTACCGCTCACCGGGACGCAACATCATCACCTCCCCACCGAAGAAAGGCAGTGGTTACAGGTTTATGGCAAGCAAAAGATCTAAAGCACTTTTTTTTCAGATTTATGGACATTTCTAGCCAGAAAAAAACCCCAAAATGATTAAGAAAGAAATTGTTTTCTGATGGTCTTTAAAGTGTGTGTGTGTGTTCTTATCCTCAGCTTTCCCAATGTTACCCTGTCCAAAATGGACCCGTATGTCTCCGACCCTTATGACAGAGCCAAAGAAATCCTGAGGGTAATAAACCTGCTTAGAAACACATTTGTTTCAATTAGAATGTACCCAAACTCTCTGCAACAGTTCAAACCTGAAGTCAAAAACATATTATTTATCCTCCAAGGAGAAATATTGTGTCAAGCTTAAGACAAAATAAATCATAGCAAGAAACAGGCTGTGTCTGAACATCCGCCCTACCCCCTCTATCAATCTATAGAGCGTGGACTCTATAGTGGACTCTATAGTGGACTCTAAAGTGGACTCTATAATGGACTCTATAGTGGACTCTAAAGTGGGCTCTATAGTGGACTCTATAGTGGACTCTAAAGTGGACTCTATAGTAGACTCTGTAGTGGACTCTAAAGTGGGCTCTATAGTGGACTCTATAGTGGACTCTAAAGTGGACTCTATAGTAGACTCTGTAGTGGACTCTAAAGTGGACTCTAAAGTGGACTCTATAGTGGACTCTGTAGTGGACTCTATAGTGGACTCTATAGTGGACTCTATAGTGGACTCTAAAGTGGGCTCTATAGTGGACTCTATAGTGGACTCTAAAGTGGACTCTATAGTGGACTCTAAAGTGGGCTCTATAGTGGACTCTATAGTGGACTCTAAAGTGGGCTCTATAGTGAACTCTAAAGTGGACTCTGTAGTGGACTCTAAAGTGGACTCTGTAGTGGACTCTAAAGCAGACTCTATAGTGGACTCTAAAGTGAACTCTATAGTGGACTCAGTAGTGGACTCTAAAGTGGACTCTATAGTGGACTCTGTAGTGGACTCTATAGTGGACTCTAAAGTGGACTCTAGTGGACTCTATAGTAGACTCTAAAGTGAACTCTAAAGTGGACTCTATAGTGGACTCTAAAGTGGACTCTAGTGGACTCTATAGTAGACTCTAAAGTGAACTCTATAGTGGACTCTATAGTGGACTCTAAAGTGGACTCTATAGTAGACTCTGTAGTGGACTCTAAAGTGGACTCTAAAGTGGACTCTAAAGTGGACTCTATAGTGGACTCTAAAGTGAACTCTAAAGTGGACTCTATAGTAGACTCTAAAGTGAACTCTATAGTGGACTCTATAGTGGACTCTATAATGGACTCTATAGTGGACTCTAAAGTGGGCTCTATAGTGAACTCTAAAGTGGACTCTATAGTGGACTCTATAGTGGACTCTATAGTGGACTCTAAAGTGGGCTCTATAGTGGACTCTATAGTGGACTCTAAAGTGGACTCTATAGTAGACTCTGTAGTGGACTCTAAAGTGGGCTCTATAGTGGACTCTATAGTGGACTCTAAAGTGGACTCTATAGTAGACTCTGTAGTGGACTCTAAAGTGGACTCTAAAGTGGACTCTATAGTGGACTCTGTAGTGGACTCTATAGTGGACTCTATAGTGGACTCTATAGTGGACTCTAAAGTGGGCTCTATAGTGGACTCTATAGTGGACTCTAAAGTGGACTCTATAGTGGACTCTATAGTGGACTCTAAAGTGGGCTCTATAGTGGACTCTATAGTGGACTCTAAAGTGGGCTCTATAGTGAACTCTAAAGTGGACTCTGTAGTGGACTCTAAAGTGGACTCTGTAGTGGACTCTAAAGCAGACTCTATAGTGGACTCAGTAGTGGACTCTTAAGTGAACTCTATAGTGGACTCAGTAGTGGACTCTAAAGTGGACTCTATAGTGGACTCTAAAGTGAACTCTATAGTGGACTCTATAGTGGACTCTAAAGTGGACTCTATAGTAGACTCTGTAGTGGACTCTAAAGTGGACTCTAAAGTGGACTCTAAAGTGGACTCTATAGTGGACTCTAAAGTGAACTCTAAAGTGGACTCTATAGTAGACTCTAAAGTGAACTCTATAGTGGACTCTATAGTGGACTCTAAAGGGAACTCTAAAGTGGACTCTATAGTAGACTTTATAGTGAACTCTAAAGTGGACTCTATAGTAGACTCTAAAGTGAACTCTTAAGTGGGCTCTATAGTGGACTCTATAGTAGACTCTAAAGTGAACTCTAAAGTGGACTCTATAGTGGACTCTATAGTAGACTCTAAAGTGAACTCTAAAGTGGACTCTATAGTGGACTCTAAAGTGAACTCTAAAGTGGACTCTATAGTAGACTCTAAAGTGAACTCTATAGTGGACTCTAAAGTGAACTCTAAAGTGGACTCTATAGTGGACTCTAAAGTGGACTCTATAGTAGACTCTAAAGTGAACTCTAAAGTGGACTCTATAGTGGACTCTAAAGTGGACTCTATAGTAGACTCTGTAGTGGACTCTAAAGTGGACTTTATGGTTTTATACATTAGCCAATCAAAGCCTTGTTTTAGTTTGAAATGGACAAACGGGTCCACCCCTTTGGAATGGGGGTAGTTTGGGTTCTTCCAAAAGACCCCAAACATAACCCCATTCCAAAGTGGCGGACCCTTTTTGGAATGACCTGGATGACTGAGAGTCTTCACCAGCATATTGAGAAGAAAACATGATTAATGTCCAAATAACGTAATTTTCAAATTGTTGAAAATATGTTAAAAACTGAGTTTTCAACGTCTTTTATTGGACTAAAATGGGACAAAATCAGACCAACCAAACACAGCCCAATTTTTTACAATTATTTCTGGACTGAATCAAGACTATGACGGGCCGACCCGATTTAGCCTAAAAAGCAACATCTGAATGACGTCTGGTGTTTCGGGAGATAAAATGTTTCTCTAACTGTGATTCGGGGCCACTTCATGGAGAAGTCAGCCCAGTTGGTGAGCAGCTGCCTTCTGTAACTCTAAGCAACTTCTCTGATCTGAGTAAGATTATAATTTCTGTCAGAATCTGTTATTTAATACATAAACATTATGAATGGTTATTTAAGGAGTTTATTCTCAGTGATCTCTGCTCAGGAAAAGAACTGGAGAGAGAAAGCTTCATGTTGGAAACACAGAGCTTTGCGAGAGCTCTTGCAAAGCATTCTGGGATATATCTGCTCATCTAGTGACCATGGGTGATCACTACTTTTCAAGGTGCATTGTGGAAAATTTCGAGTCCACTAATTTTTCATCCATTAGACTTTCTGACACTCACCTAAAATGGCGTAACTCCTGTGTTGCTCTATGTAGGGGTTAGTGTGGACCATCGGACACAGCCATAGAGTGAGATGAGGTTACCTATGCTGCCAGACTACCACCCAGTTAACTTAGCTAGCTTAGCAACCAGACGGCCCTGTCTGCTGAGTTTGCCGCTCCCTACAAGCAAATTTAAAAGTAGGATCATAATCTTTATGAACTGACGTTAAGAAGTTATTTTGGGGTGTACTTTTTTTTTCCTACTTTCTGAGACTGATTGATTGACAGGAAATGGTTAACCGGCTGATATTATGACAGCCAGTAGCCACAGCAGCAGAGGCACAGCAGATATAAAAATAGATTTTCTTATAAACAGGAAAAAAAACTTTCTTTGGTGAAAATATTTAAAAGTATAAAAAGAAAAAGCTTGGTACACTCATCTTCTTCAGTTGGTGGAACAAAGCATTGCAGGACATCCTGCTGAACACAAAACTCTCCAACCACGCCTGCTAATTTTAAAAAGGATGGGCTCCCTGGAAGTACCTGGGGCTAGTTTAATGCATGGAGACAGTCAAATTAGATGCTATGTTTTTTTATTAAAACCAGGCAAAATGTTTGGAGGATGCAGCCTGTAGGACATGCAGCGCAGCCTGCAGCATGTTTCCACCTGTGACTCTTTAACTGACTCATTAAATCTGCCTGTGTACAGAGGGAAGGGGCGATCCATCGCTCCAAACTCAGAGATGGACCCTTCAGGATCAATCTTCACCCACAGGATTATTTCCAGGACAATCCTTACCATAGCTCCAAGACACTCCCACCTGCCCAGAAGCCCCGCCCACTCCAGAAGAAGGCTCCCATGGTTCCTTTCAAGCCCCCGTCCCCCAGCAAACGGGTGACGCATTGCTTGGTTCAATGATGAGTAAAGATTGTTGATGATTGATGCATTCGTCTTGATGTTTGTTCGTATTGTTTCCCGCCTCAGATCGGGGGGGTGAAGGCTGGAACATTTGATGCCTATCCTTCCCATTCTGCTGATCCATATGCCCCTCGTTGCTCCAAACCGACCAATCAGGGACAAGTGTTTCATCCTGCTTCTGGTCCAAAGAGCATGCCAGTTAAAAGCATCATCTCTGCCAACATTAACAGGTGAGCTGCACACCTCTCTGCTGCATCAGCAGCTTCTCCTCCACCCTGCAGCTTCCAGACAGGAGTTAGAAGTTCAAACACTGAGAGGGAAGTTTCCAGCTCATTTATCAAGATTTCATGAGGAAATGAACAGTTTGTCCTCATGACAAAACAAAATGTTTTTACTACTTCAGCAAACATAAAATCTTCTCTGACTGAAGAATATAAAGAAAGAAAAACTTGATTTGGTGTGCAGTTTGAAATACTTAGATTTTTAATTGAGGATCATTTGTCTTTAAAGGACCACGCTCTGTTTCTAACAAGCTGAAACTTCTGGAAGATCATTCAAACTGTATGATAAAGATGCTGCCACCATAAGTACCTAAATAAGAAAAAAGAAAAAAAATGCAACAAACAAATCTATCAGAGCTTCATGAGCACAGGAAGTACTGTAGGTCAAAAATTTCATTCATAATGTTTTCAGTCTGATTGTTGAAACTCGTCTATAGAAACTAAAGTTTTCTAGGGGGAGAAACGTCGATGATTCTACAGTTTGGTTGAAGATGTAAAAAAACTCATCAGCACCAGAAGTCAGGTGCAGCTCCAGCATCTACCAGGTCAGAATGGACGTTTGTCAGATCATCAGTACGGCGGACTCTATTCTCACCAAGTCTGTTCTTGACAAGAACCGAGCAAAGTCTGGACTCGGGGAGAACGGGAGCACACAGAATAAATCTGGAACAGATTTAGAGCTTAATTTAACCTCCTGTTATTAATAGTCTCTAGATAATAATAATAAATTATGACTTTTTTCATTTAGTGGAGAAATAATAATGAACACAGTCCCCCCATCAGAGCCAAAGGTACTTCACACACGGCTATGCAGAGAGAGGGCTGCTGCAGCCAAGGCTAACGTTAGCCCTGGCTGCCACAGACGGGCTAACATCAGCCCTTGCTTCCACAGATGAGCTAACATCAGCCCTGGCTTTTGCAGATGGGCTAACATCAGCCCTGGCTTTTGCAGATGGGCTAACATCAGCCCTGGCTTTTGCAGATGAGCTAACATCAGCCCTGGCTGTTGCAGATGGGCTAACATCAGCCCTGGCTGTTGCAGATGGGCTAACGTTAGCCCTGGCTGTTGCAGATGGGCTAACATTAGCCCTGGCTGTTGCAGAAGGGCTAACATCAGCCCTGGCTGTTGCAGATGGGCTAAGGTTAGCCCTGGCTGTTGCAAATGTGCTAACGTAAGCCCTGGCTGTCGCAGACAGGCTAACGTCAGCCCTGGCTGTTGCAGATGGGCTAACGTTAGCCCTGGCTGTTGCAGATGGGCTAACATCAGCCCTGGCTGTCGCAGACGGGCTAACGTTAGCCCTGGCTGTTGCAGATGGGCTAACATCAGCCCTGGCTGTTGCAGATGGGCTAACGTTAGCCCTGGCTGTTGCAGATGTGCTAACGTAAGCCCTGGCTGTCGCGGACAGGCTAACATCAGCCCTGGCTGTTGCAGATGGGCTAACGTTAGCCCTGGCTGTTGCAGATGGGCTAACATCAGCCCTGGCTGTTGCAGATGGGCTAACGTCAGCCCTGGCTGTTGCAGATGGGCTAACGTTAGCCCTGGCTGTTGCAGATGGGCTAACATCAGCCCTGGCTGTCGCAGACGGGCTAACGTCAGCCCTGGCTGTTGCAGATGGGCTAACGTTAGCCCTGGCTGTTGCAGATGGGCTAACATCAGCCCTGGCTGTTGCAGATGGGCTAACATCAGCCCTGGCTGTTGCAGACGGGCTAACGCCAGCCCTAGCTGTCGCAGACAGGCTAACATACACCCTGGCTGTCGCAGACGGGCTAACGTCAGCCCTGGCTGTTGCAGATGGGCTAACGTTAGCCCTGGCTGTTGCAGATGGGCTAACATCAGCCCTGGCTGTTGCAGATAGGCTAACATCAGCCCTGTCTGTTGCAGATGGGCTAACGTTAGCCCTGGCTGTTGCAGAAAGGCTAACGTCAGCCCTGGCTGTCGCAGACCGGCTAACATCAGCCCTGGCTGTTGCAGATGGGCTAACGTTAGCCCTGGCTGTTGCAGATGGGCTAACATCAGCCCTGGCTGTCGCAGACGGGCTAACATCAGCCCTGGCTGTCGCAGACAGGCTAACATCAGCCCTGGCTGTTGCAGATGGGCTAATGTTAGCCCTGGCTGTTGCAGATGGGCTAACATCAGCCCTGGCTGTTGCAGACAGGCTAACATCAGCCCTGGCTGTCGCAGACAGGCTAACATCAGCCCTGGCTGTTGCAGATGGGCTAAGGTTAGCCCTGGCTGTTGCAGATGGGCTAACATCAGCCCTGGCTGTCGCAGACAGGCTAACATCAGCCCTGGCTGTTGCAAATGGGTTAACATCAGCCCTGGCTGCTGCAGATGGGCTAACGTCAGCCCTGGCTGTTGCAGATGGGCTAACATCAGCCCTGGCTGTTGCACATGGGCTGACATCAGCCCTGGCTGTTGCAGATGGGCTGACATCAGCCCTGGCTGTTGCAGATGGGCTAACGTCAGCCTTGGCTGTTGCAGATAGGCTAACATCAGCCCTGGCTGTCGCAGACAGGCTAACATCAGCTCTAGCTGCCGCAGACGGGCTAAGGGCAGCCCTGGCTGTTGCAGATGGGCTAACGTCAGCCCTGGCTGTTGCAGATGGGCTAACATTAGCCCTGGCTGTTGCAGATGGGCTAACATCAGCCCTGGCTGTTGCAGATGGGCTAATGTTAGCCCTGGCTGTTGCAGATGTGCTAACGTCAGCCCTGGCTGTCGCAGACAGGCTAACATCAGCCCTGGCTGTTGCAGATGGGCTAACGTTAGCCCTGGCTGTTGCAGATGGGCTAACATCAGCCCTGGCTGTCGCAGACAGGCTAACATCAGCCCTGGCTTTTGCAGATGGGCTAACGTCAGCCCTGGCTGTTGCAGATGGGCTAACATCAGCCCTGGCTGTTGCAGATGGGCTGACATCAGCCCTGGCTGTTGCAGATGGGCTAACATCAGCCCTGGCTGTTGCAGACGGGCTAACGTCAGCCCTGGCTGTTGCAGATGGGCTAACATTAGCCCTGGCTTTTGCAGATGGGCTAACATCAGCCCTGGCTGTTGCAGATGGGCTAATGTTAGCCCTGGCTGTTGCAGATGTGCTAACGTCAGCCCTGGCTGTCGCAGACAGGCTAACATCAGCCCTGGCTGTTGCAGATGGGCTAACGTTAGCCCTGGCTGTTGCAGATGGGCTAACATCAGCCCTGGCTGTCGCAGACGGGCTAACGTCAGCCCTGGCTGTTGCAGATGGGCTAACGTTAGCCCTGGCTGTTGCAGATGGGCTAACATCAGCCCTGGCTGTTGCAGATGGGCTAACATCAGCCCTGGCTGTTGCAGACGGGCTAACGCCAGCCCTAGCTGTCGCAGACAGGCTAACATACACCCTGGCTGTCGCAGACAGGCTAATATAAGCCCTGGCTGTTGCAGATGGGCTAACGTTAGCCCTGGCTGTTGCAGATGGGCTAACTTCAGCCCTGGCTGTTGCAGATAGGCTAACATCAGCCCTGTCTGTTGCAGATGGGCTAACGTTAGCCCTGGCTGTTGCAGAAAGGCTAACATAGGCCCTGGCTGTCGCAGACAGGCTAACATCAGCCCTGGCTGTTGCAGATGGGCTAACGTTAGCCCTGGCTGTTGCAGATGGGCTAACATCAGCCCTGGCTGTCGCAGACGGGCTAACATCAGCCCTGGCTGTTGCAGATGGGCTAACATCAGCCCTGGCTGTTGCAGATTGGCTAACGTTAGCCCTGGCTGTTGCAGATGGGCTAACGTCAGCCCTGGCTGTTGCAGATGGGCTAACATCAGCCCTGGCTGTTGCAGATTGGCTAACGTTAGCCCTGGCTTTTGCAGATAGGCTAACGTTAGCCCTGGCTGTTGCAGATGGGCTAACGTTAGCCCTGGCTGTTGCAGATGGGCTAACATTAGCCCCGGCTGTTGCAGATGGGCTAACATCAGCCCTGGCTGTTGCAGATTGGCTAACGTTAGCCCTGGCTGTTGCAGATAGGCTAACGTTAGCCCTGGCTGTTGCAGATGGGCTAACATCAGCCCTGGCTGTTGCAGATGGGCTAACGTTAGCCCTGGCTGTTGCAGATGGGCTAACATCAGCCCTGGCTGTTGCAGATTGGCTAACGTTAGCCCTGGCTGTTGCAGATGGGCTAACGTCAGCCCTGGCTGTTGCAGATGGGCTAACATCAGCCCTGGCTGTTGCAGATTGGCTAACGTCAGCCCTGGCTGTTGCGGATAGGCTAACGTTAGCCCTGGCTGTTGCAGATGGGCTAACGTTAGCCCTGGCTGTTGCAGATGGGCTAACATTAGCCCTGGCTGTTGCAGATGGGCTAACATCAGCCCTGGCTGTTGCAGATTGGCTAACGTTAGCCCTGGCTGTTGCAGATAGGCTAACATTAGCCCTGGCTGTTGCAGATGGGCTAACGTTAGCCCTGGCTGTTGCAGACGGGCTAACATTAGCCCTGGCTGTTGCAGGAGGGCTAACATCAGCCCTGGCTGTTGCAGATTGGCTAATGTTAGCCCTGGCTGTTGCAGATGGGCTAACATCAGCCCTGGCTATTGCAGATGGGCTAACGTTAGCCCTGGCTGTTGCAGATGGGCTAACATTAGCCCTGGCTGTTGCAGATGGGCTAACATCAGCCCTGGCTGTTGCAGATTGGCTAACGTTAGCCCTGGCTGTTGCAGATGGGCTAACGTCAGCCCTGGCTGTTGCAGATGGGCTAACATCAGCCCTGGCTGTTGCAGATTGGCTAACGTTAGCCCTGGCTGTTGCAGATAGGCTAACGTTAGCCCTGGCTGTTGCAGATGGGCTAACGTTAGCCCTGGCTGTTGCAGATGGGCTAACATTAGCCCTGGCTGTTGCAGATGGGCTAACATCAGCCCTGGCTGTTGCAGATTGGCTAACGTTAGCCCTGGCTGTTGCAGATAGGCTAACGTTAGCCCTGGCTGTTGCAGATGGGCTAACG